CACCATCTTAAGTGAATTGATGCTTCCAACAACAACTGGTGCCCTTCTAGTTTATGGAGTCCAGCCACTTACCCCAAGATAAGGCAGCAGCAGTTACAGGAGCTCTGCATAGATGTACAAAAAGTCGTTGGTTTCTGTGATACAGGTGCTTTCCTGACCATCATTGATCCCTGTGAGGTGAATTCTACAGGGAATTACTTCTGTTGGGGTAATGGCAGGACTTTCTTTTGACATTCTCCAAGGGAATGACCTGTGAGAATTTAATAGTCTGTTTCTAAGGAGTGTGACCAGAGCGTCTAGGAGTAGAACACAAGTCTGGGACAGGCTTGATGCAAGATGCAAATTCATCACGGATCTACCCTATTAACTATGTAAAGGCTCAGGTCAATCCCACCAAACACCCCAAGGTTTAGGGGAGGACCTCTTGGTTTGGAAAACAGGTGGAGACATAAAGGAAGAGCACCCCAGACTTGATGCTGTAGATGGAGACAGCGAGGTCACATGCAGGCTAATTGTCCCCAGAGTTGTAGGAGATGTCCAACTTTACAGTCACGGCTGGAAAACATCTCACAGCCGTCCTTCCGGGATGTCCGGAGTGCACTCCCCTAGGTAAATGATAAGCTGACTTTGGCTTGCATGTGCGATAGCCCATCGGAGGCCCATCTCCATGACTACTCCAGCGTGCTGTCACGCCCTCACTGCGGCCTCATGTGCGATAGCCCGTCGGAGCCCTCACTGCCATGTCTCCATGACTATCTCCACTATGCTGCGTCGCCTCACTGCGCATGTGCGATAGCCCGTCGGAGGCCCATCTCCATGACTACTCCAGCCTGCCATCGCCTCACTGCACATGTGCGATAGCCCGTCGGAGGCCATCTCCATGACTACTCCAGCCATGCCTCCAGTGTGTCGCCTCACTTGAGCATGTGCGATAGCCCGTCGGAGGCCCATCATCTCCATGACTACTCCAGCGTGCCACATCGCCTCATTGCGCATGCGCCCCCCACAGCCACGCACCTATTGGCGTGCATTCCAATTCACCTCCAGAAGCCATATTTGGCAATGGCAGCACTTGATCTCCCTCTGCTGCCAGTATAGTAACACTACTCATGAATACTCCATACATCTAAAGACAAAGATCTGCCCAATGACCCCACTGACAGCCCACACAAAGCAAGGACATTCTGGCTGCCATTGAAATGTATGTGTATACCTACTTTGTGTTCACATTTATCTCCATGGAAAGAAGCCAACAATTGAGGAACCAGCAGGCTTTTATCCAAAGGAATTATGTATTCAATTCATTCATTTTTACTTTTTATACATTGTGCTGATCCAACAATATTATCCCCATGAACCCCAATGCAGCATTCCCAATATGTCATTATTTATTATATGGGGATATATATATATATACACAGACTATATGACCTCCTCATGTATATATTACACTGCCCTGCGTTTCTTACAGCTTTAATGCCGGTGAATGTTTCTAATGTCTCTTACTATACCTCTTGATGTGTAATGTATTGTTACTTGTGTGAGCATGTTGTGATGTCACCTTTGTCCCCCGCCTCCTTTCCCGGGACTGCCCAACCCAAGTGGGAGGGTCCAACCTCTGTCCCAGGGTATATATTGAAGAGGGCTGTCATTGCCAAGTCAGCTCTGATGAAGAAGGGACTCCCTTCGAAACGCGTCAGCCTGACTCTGAGAACCTTCCCTCGTGTTTAGACTCGCGCTGGTCTCTGATTGGTCAAGTCTCACAAGGACTTTACACGCTTGTTATACTTCTCTGTTTGTGAGGATATTTTCACATCCAATAAAATCACATTTTACTGAGGTAATGCACAAGGTTGGTGCGCTTTTTGTTTCACGCTTTCCAGTATTGGTGGGGCTTCCCCAGCCTTGTTTAGAGCCGCACAACCTTTGATGCCTTGGTGGGGAATTTCTTCAAGTTCGGGTCCATCTATCCACCCTTGTTCTGGGCCATAGAGGGCAGGAGGGGTTGTTTTTGTGTTTACACCCGCGCAGTACCATTACTCTCCAGTCACTTTCCGGGTCGTTACCACCCCCCATTATTATCACTGTCCCAGCCCCAGCCCTTTCCATCTGTGGGAGGAGCTGAGTCTCCACCTCCTCATTAACACTGGGAGGCCTATAACAAACTCAATGATGACCTTTGTAGTACCGCCCCCCATGTGCAGTTCCACCCATAATACTTCAGCCTCATCACACTCTCCATCAACTAGGTCCTCTTTCACACTCGCTCTGAGATCACTTCTCACATAGAGACAGACACCACCCCCCTTTCCTATTCCCCCGTCTCTCCGAAAGAGAACCTAGCCAGGAATATGAATGGCCCAGTCATGTGAGGAATGAAGCCAAGATTCAGCAATACCAATTCAATCCTAGTTCTCTTCATGCACCAAACCTTCCAACTCACCTATTGTGCTGGGCACACTTCTGGCATTGGGGGAACAAACACTTTCATTCATTCACTGACACCTTGTTCCTTTCACACTGACACCTTGTCCATTCACTGACACCTTGTCCTTCATCACTGTCCACCTTGTCCATTCACTGACACCTTGTCATTCACCGACACCTTGTTCATTCACCTTGTTCATTCACCTTGTCATTCACGACCTTGTTCATTCACCGACACTTGTTCATTCACACCTTGTTCACATGGATTTTGAGCATTTTTTATTTTCATACAAATGGTACCAATTCCACTGGTTTTTTGTAACACCAACAAGTACTGACCCCGTCTGATCTGTCTACCCCGTTAAAACTGAATTCTCCCTCCCCCCTCCATCCTAGTTTATATACTCCTCCAGCCTTCCCATAAACCCCTCCCCCAGCACAGCAGACCCCCTTCCATTTATATGCAGACCATCTCTAGCATATACAGTGAAGGAAATGTGTTATTTGCTCCCCTGCTGATGTTTGAATGTTCGCCCCTCACACAGAAAATGATCGGTCTAACAATGGAATGTTCGGTGTAACACTGAGAGACAGAATACAACAACAAATTCAGCAGAAATGCGTCTAAACAAATGATGACTGATCTGCATGTTCATGAGGGAAAGAAGGATTTGATCCCCTTCACAAAACATGACTTAGTACTTGGTGGCCAATCCCTTGTTGGCAATCAGGTCATATGTTTCCTGGAGTTGGCCCCCAGGTTCGCACACATCTCAGGAGGGATTTTGGCCCACTCCTCTTGGCAGATCCTCTCCAAGTCATTAAGGTTTGGTGGCTGACGTTTGGCAACTCAAACTTTCAGCTCCCTCCACAGATTTTCAATCGGATTGAAGGTCTGGAGACTGGCTAGGCCACTCCAGGACCTTAATGTGCTTCTTCTTGAGCCGCTCCTTTGTTGCCTTGGCCGTGTGTTTTGGGTCATTGTCATGCTGGAACACCCATCCCCCACCCATTTTCAATGCCTTGGCTGAGGGAAGAAGGTTCTCACCCAAGATTTGATGGTACATTGCCCCGTCCATCGTCCCTTTGATGCGGTGCAGTTGTTCTGTCCCCTTAGCAGAAAAACACCCCCAAAGCAGAATGTTTCCACCACCATGTTTCACAGTTGGGATGGTGTTCTTGGGGTCATAGGCAGCATTCCTCCTCCTCCAAACAAACACGGCGAGTTGAGTTGATGCCAAAGAGCTGGATTTTGGTCTCATCTGACCACAACACTTCCCACCAGTCCCTCCTCTGCATCATTCAGATGTTCAGTGGCAGACTTCAGACGGGGGCCTGGACATGTGCTTTCTTGAGCAGAGGGACCTTGCGGGCACTGCAGGATTTCAGTCCTTGTCGGCGTAGTGTGTTACCAATTGTTTTCTTGGTGACTGTGGTCCCAGCTGCCTGGAGATCATTGACAAAGATCCTCACGTGTAGTTCTGGGATGATTCCTCACTGTTCTCATGATCATTGACACTCCACGAGGTGAGATCTTGCATGGCATGGTGCACCAGACCTAGGGAGACTGACACTTGTTTTGTGTTTCTTCCATTTGTGAATGATTGCACCAACTGTTGTCACCTTCTCACCAAGCTGCTTGGCCATAGTTTGGTAGCCCAGTCCAGCCTGTGTGTAGGTCTACCATCTTGTCCCTGACATCCTTGGACAGCTCTTTGGTCTTTGCCATGGTGGAGAGTTTGGAATCTGATGGTTTGATTGCTCCTGTGGACAGGTGTCTTTTATACAGGTAACACAATGAGATTAGCAGCACTCCCTTTAAGAGACTGCTTCTAATCTCAGCTTGTTACCTGTATGAAAGACACCTGGGAGCCAGAAATCCTGCTGAATGATAGGGGATCAAATCCTTCTTTCCCTCATGAACATGCAGATCAGTCATCATTTGTTAGACGCATTTCTGCTGAATTTGTTGTTGTATTCTGTCTCTCAGTGTTACACTGAACACCGACCGATCATTTCATTCCATTGTTTAGACCGATCATTTCTGTGTGAGGGGCGAACATTCAACATCAGCAGGGGAGAAAATACACATTTCCTTCACTGTAGGCTGCACCCCAAAAAGTCAGCCCAGTGCTCTAGGTCAGGACTACATTTTTATTCTTCTCCTGCAATCAATGGCCAACACGGTCCCACACTTCATCCATGTCTTTGGGGACCTCTGATCTCCTTATGAACTGTTTCTTCCATGATGAAGATCAGCCATGGAGTATATCTGAGGTGTATATCAGGGTGTGCTTCTTCCCCACATGAGAGCTGGGATGTCCAGCAACATTCATCTAGAAGACATTTCCCGCACTCAAGGCACTACTACACCTCCAGGGTTGTGTGGGACCCCTGATGTCCAGGGGACTTCAGTGGGACCCCTGATGTACAGGAAAGACAGGACTTCAGTGTTTATGAGACAGGACATTTCCCTCACTAACCTTTTCCACACAGGAAAATGGCTTCTCCCCCGTGTGTGAATCTCTCATGTCTGTGAAGATTGGACTTATCTGAAAAACATTTTCCCACACTCAGGACAGGAATACGGCTTCTCTTCCCCGTGTGAGATCTCTGATGTGAATGTTTACGAAGACTGGACTTCTGTGAAAAACATTTCCCGCACTCAGGACAAAAATACGGCTTCTCCCCCGTGTGAGATCTCTGATGTTTATTTACATGAAGACGGCTTCTCCCCCGTGTGGATTCTCTGAAAAACATTTCCACACTCAGACAGGAATATGGCTTCTCCCCCGTGTGAGATCTCTGATGTTTATGAAGACCAGACTTCTCTGAAAAACATTTCCCGCACTCAGGACAGGAATACGGCTTCTCGCCCAGTGTGAGATCTCTGATGTGTGTAAAGATTGGACTTCACTGAAAAACATTTCTCGCACTCAGGACAGGAATATGGCTTTTCCCCCGTGTGAGATCTCTGATGTGTGTGAAGATTGGACTTCTGTGAAAAAACATTTCCCGCACTCAGGACAGGAATATAGCTTCTCCCCCGTGTGAGATCTTTTATGCACATTAAGATTGGATTTAGATTGGAAACATTTCCCGCACTCAGTACAGGAGAAGCTCTTCCCTGTTGGAAGGCCAGCCCGGTCCCGCACAGTCTGAGGTTCCTCAGGATACGAGGAATCCGATGGTCCATCTACACTGGGTGGTGCCGGATGGACATTGGAGGGAGCCGGGTTTTCTCCTGGACTATACTGTGTGATGTCCTCATCTTCTACTTTCCAGTCTGGAGACAAAGTGAGACAATCCTCGAGGTTTTCCTCATCTCCCGGCCATGGACTAAAATACAAAGACAAAGAGGATTACTAGACAGGAGCTGATTGGTTCCCCCAAACCAGGACTCCGCCCACATCAGGCAGCTTGGTCTCTGAGGAGCTTACAATTCCACCCTCAAGGGAACTAGGAAATGGCTCCTCTGATCTCCTACCAGGTCATTTCTTTATTCATGGACCTTAGTCAGAGAGTGAGGAAACAACCAGAACTGTCTTTTATAGGAGGGACAGTGATGAGGGGATTATAGGACGAGGGTCCCCACCCCCTCTATCACTCATCGCCATCTTCCCAACACAAGAAGTACTGCACTTCCTTATTTAGTCCATGATTTAGTCATGAAGAACAGCGGGGCTGAGCCCCACCAGAGGTCAGAGAGTGAGGATGGGGGGAGAACAACCAAGATGAAGACTGGACTGATCCTGAAGACCACCATCATTGGGGTATTGACTCCTCCCTCATTATCACTTTCTGTTTAAGGGTCCAAAGTTGGAGGATGTTATCACATTATTATCACCATGTAAAAGTCTGTGCTCCAATCACATCATCCGATATAAAATGTCCAGCTGGGAGGAAATGGGGGAACAAAAGAGAATCCATATTATGTGTATATATAGCAGTGGGGGGAGGGGGGAAGCAGAAGTCAGGACTATGGAATGTACAACATAGAGTATATAGTGCAGGGGTCAGGAGTATGTAATGTACAACATAGAGTATATATAGTGCAGGGGTTAGAAGTATGCAGTGCAGGGGTCAGGAGTATGTAATGTACAACATAGAGTATATAGTGCAGGGGTCAGGAGTATGTAATGTACAACATAGAGTATATAGTGCAGGGGTCAGGAGTATGTAATGTACAACATAGAGTATATAGTGCAGGGGTCAGGAGTATGTAATGTACAACATAGAGTATATAGTGCAGGGGTCAGGAGTATGTAATGTACAAGAGTATATAGTGCAGGGGTCAGGAGTATGTAATGTACAACATGGAGTATATACATAGAGTATATAGTGCAGGGGTCAGGAGTATGTAATGTACAACATAGAGTATATAGTGCAGGGGTCAGGAGTATGTAATGTACAACATAGAGTATATAGTGCAGGGGTCAGGAGTATGTAATGTACAACATAGAGTATATAGTGCAGGAGGGTCAGGAGTATGTAATGTACAACAACAAGCTAACATGAAAATCCAAATATTATCTCCACAAGTCCATGTTCTAGATGCTCCATCCTCACCAACCTTGTAATGGTTGAGGAAATTGTGGTGATCTTCCTGGTTTGGAATCCGGAATACAGGGG